TGTCTGAACATTTACTTTATTCTGTCTGAACATTTACTTTATTCTCTTGTGATTCTATTTACTGGCATCTTTGGAAACTTTTGGATCTGTTGCTGGACGTTAAACTAAAGTTTTGACACAAAAAACAACAACATGAGGTTTAAATAACTGCTGAAGATTTTGATCCAATTTAAGAAAATAAATAACTAAAAAAAGTCTTGTTTGATCAGCAGATTCAATGTTTTTAAAAGCTTCAGCTGAAGTTGTTTGGAAGAACAAAGACGTCATAAACTTTCAGAGTCTATGAAGTCAGTTATAGTCGTCACACCTTCAGAAGAACAAATCAAACAAACAAAAAATCACGCTTTTCTCAAAAAGAAGCCAGTTTAAGGAGACACGAAGTTTGACTCTACATCCTATAACACGGGGTACAAAACACCTGAGAGAGTGGGCGGGGCCTCTTCCCTACCTGTGATGAGGACGGCCTTGCCGTGCGGAGCGTGCATGTCGGCGTCGGCGTGCGTCGGGCCGGTCCTGGCGGCGGAGTACAGGCAGCAGGCGAGGCCCAGCAGCAGCGCCAGCAGCAGCAGTGCCGCCGGCAGGCAGAACGCCCACAGGCGCTCCACCAGCACGGTGGCGCCCAGCCACGCCACCAGGGGGGGGGCGGCACCCAGGTGAGACACCAGGATCTTCTTCATGGCCCCGCCGACGAACACGGCGAGCACGCCCAGGTAAATCCAGAAGGGGAGACTGTAGTCGTCCATCATCAGCAAGGAGGAGGGGAGAGAGACAGAGAGACACCCTGGTTTACCTGTCTGTCTGTCTCTCTGACTGTCTGACTGTCTGTACTCCGTCTTCACAGGAGGAAGAACTGAATCAGAGTGTTTGTGAGAGAGAGTCGGTGCAGAGAGCCTCGTCCTCTCCGTCTCTCTCGGTGTATATATAGAGGAGAGCTGCGGGGGGAGGGACTACAGGCTGCATCTAATCTGCCCCCCCCCCCCCACACACACACACACCAACACAAACACACACCCACCCACACACACACACACCCACACACCCACACACACACAGAGTTAAAGTTAACAAACAAACTGAACCACCTCAGTGTGGAGAAACCCTTGTATCTCCTCAAACGGAGATGATTTGTTGTGTTTGTTGTAATCACAAAACATCAGAAACTAGAAAGGTGAATCTCTCTCCAGGTGAGTCTGCCCTCTGCTGCGCCTCACAGTGTTTATTTAGGTTGCAAAATCTTCTGAATATACGTGTGTGAACATGAGGTTGATTCCCAATAAAAGGGCACTGATTAAATCTGTTTATCTACAACCTAGATGGAGCTGAATGTGCTGATCTCTGTTTCTGTAAAGGAAACATTCTTACATTTTGAAGACTACCATGTTAATTTACTTTTCAAAAACAAACTTCGTTCAAACTTTAAAACAAGCAACAATGAATGCTGCCAATCGGCTCGAGGTTGTCATATAAGACGTCATACAGTCGCTTCAAAGCAAAATGAAACTCACCAAGCTGTCTGACAGCTTAGCAGCGGCTGAATGTCGGCAAGTTACTTTTTCTGGTAGTTTCGTTAGCGGTTAGCGGTTAGCTGTTAGCTGTTAGCTGTTAGCCAAACCGTCCAAAAAACCCACTAAAAGGGGTTAACTGTTTCTTCCACTGTCTCTAGTATCATCTGGGGGTCGGTGAGGTACTCAGCTGTTATATCAGACCAGTTAAGAATACTGAGTGGTATTTTACTATGATGTCTATGATGTATTTAAAGTAGTATAAAGTATTTAATGTCTCCAGGTATTTAAAGTAGTATAAAGTATTTAATGTCTCCAGGTGTTTAAAGTCGTAAAAAGTATTTAATGTCTCCAGCTGTTTAATGTAGAATAAAGTCTTTATTGTCTACAGATGTTTAAAGTATTATAAAGTCTTTAATGTCTCCAGATGTTTAAAGTAGTATAAAGTCTTTAATGTCTCCAGATGTTTAAAGTAGTATAAAGTCTTTAATGTCTCCAGATGTTTAAAGTAGTATAACATATTTAATATCTCCAGATGTTTAAAGTAGTATAAAGTCTTTAATGTCTCCAGATGTTTAAAGTAGTATAACATATTTAATATCTCCAGATGTTTAAAGTCGTATAAAGTCTTTAATGTCTCCAGATGTTTAAAGTCGTATAAAGTCTTTAATGTCTACAGGGGGAGCTGTGTGCCATCTGATAAATGGCCTCAAGTGAAGTGATCTGTCCAGACCTCTGCAGCTGCTGCTCATCTCTGCTGCAGGCTACGTTAGCTTATACAAGCAAAACACACCACAATCGACCACACAGCTGTCGGAGTGAGAGATGCATAGTGGGTAATGTAGTTGGCAGGTTTTGACGAAGAATAATAATGTGTGTTGTGCTGCATCGATTTGGATCCTTTTTGAAAAGCCGTCAATCGAGTCTGACAGAGTTACTGTGAGATGATTCATCTGGAGGATGTTGGGACTTCACCATGTGGTTAAAACAAAGAGAGAGGCCTGTACATTTAAAAGGCTAGATTGTGAAATTGAGCCAACAGGCCTCAAAATCTCATCTGAGTGGGAGATTTGGTTCAAACCACAACACCGGTGCCTCATTGGGCGAGAGCCATGGGAACCCCAGTGAGTGAGTGCCGGCGATAGACCAGTTCTGTTTGGAGAAATTCCTCCGAACAAGTCTGGAGGAGCAGATCCCCGCCGTCACACGGAGGATCAGCTCACCGTTGAACCCGCCGATACAGAGCAAGTCGGTCCCCGGTCCTAGAAAAAGGGAAATTCTGCCTAAAAGTTCAGAGAACACACCAATTACCACTGAGAGATCTCCAGAAAGAGGCTTTTGGTTTGAGCAGATTGGTCATTGTGTGTTTGTAACCTCTTAGTGATCGCTGAGTCCCGCTCGGTGTTATGTAACATAACTGTTGTGCTTGTTGCTGCTGTGATAGTGTATAAATCAGCCACCACGAGTAAAGTCAGTAAACTGTACTTTATCAGTTAAAGGTACACCGCTGTACTTACTGTACTCTAATGATCAGCCTTCTCTACTAACCCACACATCTCATACGCCTCCAGTGTGTTTGTTCAGTCTGAGTTGAAACATTTGTACAAAGAAACATAAAGTCAGAGAAGTTTGGAGGAGGAATACAAACAATCGATCAATACGTTGTTCATTATTTACCCTCCAGGATTAAATTCTTTATGTTAGGAAAGAAAATTCAGAGGTTTCAGAAAATGAGTGTTTTCTTTTTTACCACCTCAGTATTTGTAAACGTCTCTTCTTCTTCTTCAGCTTCTCCTCGCTGACTCTGACCGTGACGATCGTCTCAGCGAGCGCCGCCGACCCGTCTGACACGATTACCTGCCGCTGTGAACACACCTGCTGAGCCGCTCTGACCCCTTTCCCTTAATCTGAGCGGCCGTTTGACAGAGCGGCTTTAACCACCGAGCGCTGCCCCCCCCCCGGTTGTCCCTCAACCTGCAGATTAAAGACAGGAGACGCCGCAGGAACCCGAACAAACAGGTCTCAGACGGCACGCAGAGGGACGAGGACACGGAGACGAGGCTGCCGGGTCACCTTGTGAAGCTGATAGTTAAACATCTGTTGCTCTGCAGATGAAGCACACACACACACACAGACACACGTTAGCAACTCTTACCGTTAATAACGTAAATGTTTATAGTGAGTTTGTTATGGGTCATTTATTCTGTTTGGATATTCATGATGAATGTATATTTTCAGATTAAGACATTATTTAGGTTTTAGGAGAATTCTGTTTAAAGCACAGTAATAAATATGAGTCTCAAATGAATCTGTGGTGAGTTTAGTCCTGTTCAACAAATCAACGAGTCAACAGTTTAAATACCGGAGGAGAGATGGATGCCCAGAAGAAGCAGAAACATTCCTACTTTTAACATTATGAAAGACTTCGATATCAACGGCTTCATGGATTTATTTATCTCAAATTGAAGTTATTTAAAGGAGGTAGCGGTCAGAATATCAGTGGAATTTAAATTGTCATCAGCCATGTAAACCGATCAATAGGAATATTGTACTATTTTTTAAAGTAATATTTTCTGCATGTAAACACAGTCAACCAAACTACTACAGCAGGACGAGGACGAGGCACAAAACTCAACCAAAGAACCAAAGATTGATCCAGTTGTGTAAAAGTGAATCACTACATTCAGTTGATGTGAAGAGACACGGTCAAAGACCGTTCACAGGAAGTGGACGTAGTCATGAACTCGTTGGTTTGTGACCTTTTGAAGCCTCCAGTTCAGCCTCTTGGTTGTCACCATCTTGTTTTTTCTCAACCAGTGAACAGGAAGTGACCATATCTGGACTGAGGAGGAGTGACGTA